GGGTTTCCCAGTTCCCTGGGGCCAAAGCTCCCCTCCTGCTGCTCTGCTGACTGTCATTGGAAGTGGGCCATTTTCCACCCTCAAGGTGGCTGGGCTCAGGAGTACAGTGATGCTGCTGACTTGGGCTCTGTGCTCTGTCCACATGACCCCTGCCAGGGGATCCAGCTGTCAGTTAGCCAGCCCCAACCCTGGGAGCCTCCCGTTCTGCTCCCTGCCTCAAAACCCTTGGGGAATGAGAGTGGTCACTGGCAGAGAACTTCTCAGCAAGGCCTGCTTGGGACTTCCTCTGCAACTGTGCAGGGAATAAATCTGTCACCTACATCCCTGCACGGGTGACTCACCTTCCAGAGAAAGTGCTCTGCTCACCTAAGCAAAGATGCTTGGAAAATGACTAAGGCACTTATCAAATGCAGGCTGTGGGCCCAGCCAGAGACTGGGTAGGGTCTACCGGCTCTGCTCTTACTCCAGCCTGAAGGCAAGTGCGCTCCAGGCCGGCTGCTTTCATTTTCGTCTGAACTAAGCTCCACATGAGGCTTGACATCCGGTGATCTATTTTTTCTAAAAACTAGGTTCACTTTAGAAATGACTCTTCGGCCATCCAAGACAGCTTCCCCAAGAGAAAACAAAATGTTATTTAAAGAACATCAACCTGGTAGGAGCTTATGTTTTCGTTTTGTATTAAGGGAGCAAAAATAATTTAAAATCTAATGTGATTTTTTTTTTTCTTGTGAGATTTTAAGGGAAATCTCCAAGTCCCTGACTGTAGATCCAGGGCCCCCAGACCTAGTAGTAGAGATAAAATGACAAGACATATTTTCAAAGGAGAAAGGGGGGTGAGGTTGGGTGCCATGTGCTGGTAGGAACTGTACCCAGAGAACCAAGCACTGTCTCTAGTCCCCCAAAGAACAAGTCCTTGTTGACTTATATTTCCTTTTTCTCACCCCTGAGAGTTAATGATGGGACCTACTTAGCCCCATGCAGGACCCTCCGAAGCCCCTAGTCAGGCCCAGCTCTGCCTATGGTTCAGAGAACTGGGAGTTCTGGGGATGCCCCCTGTTTATGATTGCCAACTCTCACTGGGCAGAATCTGGGCCCCTTTAGGCTCATTTGGAGTGAGGTGAGGGCAGAATCTAAAACCTCTAGGCTGGAGAAACATTGCCCTGGAAATCTTACTGAGAAAATAACTGTCCTGTCAGGCAATCTGACTCTTCTTGACACCAGGTTACCGAAAACCGGTCTGGTCACAATATAGTAATTGACGGCTACTACCACTGCCATTTCTACTACCACTGCTGACAACAACCTGTGACAGTCACTGTGCTCGGCACTGCACATGGATTCTCTTATTTTCTTCTACTCAAAACTTCCCATGAAATAGTTCTGGTCCCACTTACAGATAAGGCACCCATGCCAAAATAGAAGTGAAGTGATTTGCCTGAGGGCACGCAGGCAGACCACCGCAGACCTGGGCGTGGCTCACATCTGTCTGAGCAGACAGTCTAAAACACCACACTGGCTTGGAGACAAATGGCTCTATTACTCTGGACAGCTTACTTGACCTCTCTGCCTTAGTTTCTACACCTGGAAAATGGGCAGAGGCAGACCTGTCCCAGCAGTAGGCTATTTGTCTTTTAAGCTTTGATTAATTAAGAACCAGTATTGATTAATAGTTGATTATTGATATCAACTGACGTAACTGATAGATAAAGCTGCTTCCCTGGTTTAATTATGTTCAAAATTGTTATGTTGGAGGGGGCACTTACAATTTTTTGAGCAAGTTCGAAAAAGCAGTGAAGCAGATGTCAAGAACAGTGGGTTTAGATTCCAGGCATGACAGTAATTGCTAAGGAATCTTGTCTACTTTCTCCTCACTAGGCTTCACTTTTCTGATCTGAGTCCCTGCCTCCCTTCACATAAGTACTGTAAGAAACTACAAAGCCTGGCTAAAAAATTATTCCTCATACACATAATTCCAAGGGATTTATATCAGTGAGCTAAAGGATTAAAGGATGAAAAACAGCCAAAAAAGACAGCAAACCCTTTAAACTAGAATTGAAGAACACACATGGGCTTGCAGGGTGGCTAGCAAGCACAAAGCCCTGAGTTCAAATCCCAGTACTATGGGGAGTGGGGGAAGAAGACACAAGCCACTGAGGAAAACTCATTTTTTCTGTACTATCACTCAGGCATTCAGACTGGTCCATAACCAAGGCCCCCATACCTCAGCACCCTGCTCAGCTCAGCTACATGCTCTCCTGTGCCATCTGCCCTCCGCCTCTCCTTCCCTCCCTATCTACTCCACTGCAATCAACCTTTCAGTCAGCATCAGCAAGTAAATGCAAAGCCTTCACCCTTTAAATGCACACCCTAGCCAGTGAAGATGCTCAGCTCCATTCCTTTCCCTTATTCAGGATCTTGGTGTGCAGAGCCCAGAGGGTTGACTTATCTTTAGAGCTCCCCAAGTCCACTCTCCAAACTGTCCCCCTCCCCAGCCATTTCACACTGGTGCCATCAAAAGTGCCCATGATGCTCAGATGCTTCCAGTTTAACTGAAATACTAAAATGGGGCAAACAGGAAGCATCAGACACAACTGCGGTAGTGACTTATTAATCACGAAAGCAGAATTTTAGTTGCATTTTAACCTTTTGCCAGGAAAAAAAAAAAACAACAAAAAACAGCTTTGAGATGACAGAAGCCATCAGTAGAAGTATGCTGCTCGTATATGTATCAAACCAACTCTGACTTTTTAATTTAGGACTGAATTTGGTTCTAAGATTTCTGTTTTCCCTCCAGAAAGAACATCTGTCAAGCCAACCACGATGAATCTGTCAGCTCTTCACAGGATAGGCAAGCCTGTTAGGAAAGTCCATGTGCTGTCCACTGAGACAGGAAAAAAATAGGAAACTAAAAGTGAGTTCACAGGCCAAAGTGACACAACGCTCTTAGGGGGCCACCAACCCTGGATGAAGCTTTTCTCTCCTTTACACCTCTATAGGTCTCTCACCAGACCCTAGCCAGGGATGAACCCTTATCACTCACAACCATTGCCTAGGGCTGGACAACCAATCAGGACAAACCCTCTTCTCAGCATTAAATGATACACAAACACTCCAAGCAGATCACAAAGGAGTCAGTGTTCATCAGGAGAACCAAAATGAGGAACCAAACCTCCATCTGCTGAGGCAAAACGGCCCAACCAGGCGTCTTTGTTTAATAGAAGAAGGCTCATTTGGCAGGGTCTCTGTCTGTGGTGCCGCTCCCACAAACTCTAACAGACACCAGAGGCAAAAACCCCCTCAGAACTGCTCTGTATATCAGCAAACAATCAGAAGATGACATAAAACTTGGCGAGTTGTTGCTGTCTGATTTCACAAACTGCTGGTACATATTCCTGGAGAATATATATATATATATATATTCCCAGATATATAATATATAACTTATATTTTATATATATATATTCCCAGATATATAATATATAACTTATATATATATATATATATATATATATACACACACACACACACAGCTGGAGACTAATTTCTAAAGTTTCTAAAGTCAGACACACTTACTTTTATTTAGAGATCTCCTGAGAAGTTCATTACACCCTTCCAAATAAATCAGGATGTCAAAGGTGTTTAAAAACTCTGAGTCTGGTATCACTCCAAAGGAACTGACTTTGACATCACTTTTAAAATAGCAAAAGAAAATCCAAACACATCCTAAGCAAAACAAACACCTTATAAATGTCCTCTTACATTAAAGGTGTAAATATCACACCAAACACTTCTCCCTCCTTTTTCCATCAGAGTCCTATTATGTCATCCTGATTCAGGGGTCTGGGGAACCCACCCTCAGTCCTAACTTGAGGCACCAGGCAAGAAATATGCCTCCCACACCTGCCTTAGGTGCCTCACCTATAAAACTGGATGATGCTATCCATCTACCACACAGAGGGTTAAAGGGAAAAGGTTACAGGTATGAAGATGCTAAGTATACAGCACATCACTAATGTTAGGATACTATCTTCCTCTAATCTTTCAGAAAAACTGTGTTTTTAGTCACAGGGTTTTTCAACATTTTTCTTGGAATAAACTTTAATTTATTGACATTCATTGGTCATGGGCCTACTCTTGTTAAATTTCATTCAGTTTTCGACTCCTTAAACAAGTTACTCATGTTCCCTGTCTCAAGTTACCAAAAAGAATTTTGCCACTGACACCACTGATTTCTGAACTTTTTCCCTCTCATCCTCTCCTCTCCACACTCCTTCACACCGCAGGCCATTGGAGCTGAGAGCAACATTTTAAGACCCCCAAGTTGGAACTGCACAGGTGTGAATCTCTGCATGGTACAAGTGGCTTTCTACCTGGTGGCCGGTGGCTTCAAGCTGATGGGGCCACAACGGGCTTCCAAAAGTCCCCGAGTGGAACACACAGAACTACAGAGAAGAGTCGGGGTCAGAGAGAAGGATGCCGGGGGTGGCCGGCACTGCCCCGCTGGGTGCCGAGGGCAGGGTCTGCTCCTCTTGTTGGTGGGGTGTGACCTCCCAGGCACTTCCCAGGGGAGACCAGAGGGTTCCACGGCCAGGGCAGGTGGGAGCGCGCAATTCTGCAAGGGGGCACCCAAGGCGCGGAGCAGGAGGAGCGGGCCTGGCTGCAGGGCAGCTGAGCGCGGTGGCACGGGTGTTGGGGAAGGGGAAGCAGGGAGTCCTCGCGCACGCTTCGGGCGACCGTGTGGCCTGCGAGAGTGCGCGGCCTGGAGGCTTGGGGCGAGCACGGTGTGCGATCTTGGCGCTGGCAGCTAGGGTGCGCGAACGGACGGCCCAGGGAGCCCAGGCCCGCCGCGAATGGGTCCGACCGCGGACGCCTGGCCGCCGATCCCCACCATTCGAGCGCGCGGGCCAGGCCGAAGCCCAGCAGGGCTCTGAGGGACGACCCATCCCCGCCGCTCCCACGGCGCCCCGCTTCAGGTCTTGGGGTCCCGCCCATTCACCTACCGGCGGAGCGCCGATCTCCCCAACCAAGCGAGTGTAGCGTGTAGCTGGCCAGCGATCTCCCGCCGCCGGTCCCCGACCGCTGCGATCCGGGCCCACGGTCGCCCCGCCCCGGCCCCGCCTCTGCCCTGCGCCCCGCCCCCGCACCGCCTTCCCGACCTCCCCGGGACCACGCCTACCCCCCCCCCCCCCCCGCGGCTGATGCTTTGCCTAGCTTCGCGCCTCCTTTTTTTGGCCGCACAGCTACCCTTGATCCCACCCACTCGTCCCAAGTAGCCAATGAGATGGCTCTTCCTGGCCTGCCCATCGTCCCACTCCCTATCAACTATTGGCTAACGAGGTCTAGTTACCAGAAATGGTCATTATTTCCGGCCAAGTCTGGGCGAACCGATGGACGAAAGGCGGAGACAAGCCGAGTGTTGGTGTAACTACACATGCGCGATCCACTTCTGGCAATCTTTACCGGTTGTATTCTTCTTGAGGTTACGGGAAGGAAGGGCGCCGGGGCGCATGCGTGGGCACTCCCAGCTCCGACTTCGGTTACCTTGGAGACGTCTGGGCGCTCTAGCTGCTCAGCTTCCTTTCTGCTGTGAGGTCGTAGCTGTTGAGGCACAAGGTGGTGGTGGTAGAAATACGTCTGAGGAACACTGACTGTGCCTGGCGCTGTAGAGTACCTAGGATGAGTAAGAAGGTTAAGCTGCCTGCTCTCGAGAAGCTTGGGGAGCCAGGGGCCTGCACAGGGAAGACCACGTGTGTTGAAACCCAGGTCTTTTCGAAGACCAAGACAGCGTGCAGCGGGCGTGGTGCAACCTCTTCCCGCCGATGGAGAAGCTGCATAGTGTGTGCGCCACTCTCCTCTCTGGGTTTACAAGCTATAGAATCAGGAAAAGGGAGCTTTCCATAAGCTAAGAAATGACCTTGAGTTTGAATGTGCAGAGGTGTCAACAGTGCACCTTTCTGAATGGGAGGAGGGAAAGACAGAGGGAAGTAGGGAAGGTACAGATTCCCACTCCTTCCAACTTTTGCCAATATATTTTCTAGTGTTTCCACAGTGAGCTTGTATTTATTTGTAATAAAATCCCAAACTTACTTTTTTAAGTTTGCAAAATAAAATATGGATCCCTACGCTGGCGATTCGGTCAGGAATCTAGTGCAGGTGTGGGGACTGTCTATAGTGGTGGAGAAGCAGGCCTCATCCAAGGCTATCTTGAGAATTAAGGAGCCCCCTACCTCTGGAAGGGATAGGCCACGTCTGTCTGCTCTGGATCACTTTGTAGACAGTCCGTGGTAGTTGAAATCCTCGTTTCCAGAGATCTGTGCCCAGCAGACATCTGTTGGGGGTATTCATTTAGGTAGTGGTTGAAAACCTACAACAGTGAGGGCCTTACCCACTCCTCAGGTAAGAAGTTTGCTTTGTTTGGCTGGCCTTTTCTTTGAATTTGAATACTTGAGAGCAGAGCCTGCAGTTCCTTATAATCCCAGCCCATGTTGTATATTCCCAACCATGTCCTGTCTTCTGTCGTGTCCAACCCCTACAGCATTTCTGGTTGTTGCTTCCATAGACCCTGTTCTTTGGAGCCATACGGTCTTTGGGGCATATACTGGCTTTGCCAGTGACCTGCTGGAAGTTTGTGGGCAAGAAAGAAGCTGAACTGGGCGCCCCTAAAGCTCCTTCCACCTCCAGAGTTTTGCATTTCAGTGACTCAGGGAGAGGTGGGGTTGGGCTAGACATGCAGGTATCAGGACTTGGGTGCCACCACCTGTTTGCCTGTGGGCACACCACTTCTCAGGAAAGACGTGGGCACAGGCCCAGAGTCTCCACACACTCTTGCTCACTTTTGTTGTCTCCCTCTTTCATCCTTCCTTCTTTAGGGCATTCAGGACCCCTGTGCTTTACCCAGCTTCCCTTGACATATCTCTGGTCCTGGCTCCCCTGCATGCCATACTTACCTATCAAGACAATCTGTCTTTAGACCTATGCACTAATAATAGTGTGTGTGAGAGAGTCAGCTCTGTTGACCCAAAGCTCTGGAGAAGGAATTTCAGTTCAGGTTGCAGAGGAAGAACAAACCACTACACACTAGTAAGGGTGGTATTAGCAGGCTTCTGGGTTTCAGAAGAAAGACCTGGGTTCTTAGGTCTTTCCAAGCCCCACTGTGTGTGAGGTGAGATGAGAAACAATCCGACACCCCCAGGAGTCAGTCTTGAAGTGTCTCTGAGCCTGAATTACTTACACACCCTCTGGAATTCGAGCTTCTGGGCAAAATTACTTCCTCCCAGCCTAAGCCAGGGCGATTTGGGAAGGCTTCTAGCCTTGAGTCACTTGTGCAGCCTCGGCTGTGCTTTAAATAAAAGAATTGACATTTACAGGATGACTCACCTGGAGCAGCGAGCTAGGTTCTCAGTACTCAGGGAGTTTCACATCCCATCTATTTTAGGACTCAAAATATTAGGGTGAGACTGTGCTAGTTCAAAAGAAGATCAGCTTTTGGTTTTAGAGAGCTTAAGAAAGTAAGCCAGACAGTTCAGTTTCTAAGTGTTTTGTCTGCATAACTTCACTGACTATTTGCTCAACCTGGTCCTATTGACATTTTGGGTTCAGTAATTCATAGTTAGAGGGGGACTGTCCTGTGCATTGTAGGATTTTTTTTTTTTTTTGCAGTGCTGGGCTTTGAACTCAGAGCCTACACCTTGAGTCACTTCACCAGTCCTTTTTTATGGTGGGTTTTTTTTGAGAGAGGATCTCCCAAACTATTTGCCAGAAGCTGGCTTCTAACTGGGTTTCTCCTGATCTCTGCCTCCTGAGTAGCTAGGATTACAGGCGTGAGGTGCTCGGCTTAAAGTTGGATTGATCATATATAATTTGTCTTCAAATAATCCCCTGGGAAACTTTTTTTTTTTGGCAGCAGCACTGGGATTTGAACTCAGCCTCACTCTTGCTAGGCAGGTGCTCTAGCACACGAGCCACCCTACCAGCCCTTGTTGGATATTTAAGAGCATTTTCTTTCTTTCTTTTTTTTTTTGTGGTGGTGGAACTTGGATTTTTGAATTTAGGGGGGTTTATGCTGGCTAGGCAGATGCTGTACTGTTTGAGCTTTTTTGCTGTAGTTACTTTGGAGAGAGCGTCTCACTTTTTGCCCAGGCTACTACCCTCCTATTTTACGCTTCCTGCCATGCTGGGATGACAGGCGCCCACCATCATGCCCAGTGTTTTTCCATTGATACGGGGTCTGGCAAACTTTCATTTGCCCAGGTTGGCCTGGAACTGTGATCTTCTCAATTTCAGCCTCCCAAGTATCTAAAATGACAGATGTGAGCCACTGGTGCCTGGCTGTTTAAGAATATTTCTGTGCACTAGATAATAATAGCACTCCCCCACCCACCGTATGTGACAGCCAATATATGTCTCCAGTTATTGCCAAATGTCCCCAAGGGAACAAAATTGTCCCCAGTTCAGAGATCTGCAGTCTTAACACTATAGATAGTATTATTATTCCCACTTCATAGATGGGCAAACTAACTGAAGCTTGGACAGAGTAACTTGCCCAGGTTTACTTTGCCAGGTATGACTCCAGAGCCCCTTCCCTCCTGCATGCAGGACTCCACAAAGACATTGGGCTTCACAGAGCCAGCTACCCATCAGTTCTACAGAAGAGTGATGAAGAGTGAGTAAGTTTTGTGCATCAGTGAGAGAATGTTATCCTTGGGTCACTTTGCCTTTTCTGTTTGCCTTGGATAAAGGAAATTTCTTCTGGCTTTTAGTCAATACATTGAGAAAGTGGCTGGTGAATCATCTGAGTGTCTGTGGCTTTCAGGCCCCACAGTCCTATGAGATCTCAAGTTACACTTGAGAAGAATGCTGACATGAAGCTAAGAATGAGACATGACTGGAGGCTGGGGGAGATGCATTTTTACTTTTCCCATTAGGGCCCTACTCAAGTCTGCAGCCATGGTACCATTGCTGTCCTGAAGTTTGGACCTGCCTTGTTGCTGCCATCTCAGTGCAGAGGTCTGGGCAGGGAGCAGGGAAACAGGAGAGGGAATGGATGAATGGATGCAGGCAGTGGTGTGATGGAGCTGTCTTCCTGTTCTGCAGTCTGTGACTTCATGTTGGAAGCTTGGATTAAATTGGATTTAGTGGGAGTATTTACACCATGGAAATTGGCCAGTGGTATAAACCAGGCCTACCCACTGCACAAGCTGATAAACATTCATCAGCCTTCTAGTTCTCACTCTTTGCTGCCCAGTCTTACCCCACATGGGGGAGACAGAAGTGACACCATGAACCTCAGAGCCAGTGGGGAGAGGAGCAGCCATGGTGATACAGGTGAGGGGAAGAGGTGCCAATCTTGGAAAATGGTAGAGAAGCCTGATAGGGGACTCTGTGGGACATTAGGCAAAGATGATCTTGCCAAGAGCAGGTCCTGGACATACCTTCCTAGACACCTCTCCTGAATTTGAAGCCTTCTTAGAGATTCCTGTCTTGACTCAAATTCCTCTCACTTCCTGATTGGTTTTTCCCCTCCTAAGTCACCTCTTTACCTCTAGTCTTCTTTCCACACTATCCCCAGCCTTTCTGGTAGATTTAATTCTCCCCTAAGAGCCAGGCCCTGGTGGCTTACACCTGTAATCCTAGCTACTTGGGAGGTTGAGATTGGGAGGATTGGGGTTTGAGGCCAGCCTGGACAAACAGTTCACGAGACCCCTATCTCCAAAATAACCAGAGCAAAATGGACTTGGAGGTGTGGCTCAAGTGGTAGAGTGCCTGCTTTGCAAGCATGGCTCCCATCAAAAAAAATTCTAAGAGACCACTTAGGTCATATTGTTCCACCCACAATGTTCCAGTATCTCCTGCCCTCTAACATCTCCCTCCTTTAGCCTCTTCCTTTCAACCTGCAATGCAGTCAAGCTAAAACCAACCCACCAACCAATCATTCCCTTACACTGTTTCCAGGTATCTGCTTCATTTCCCACTTGAGTGTACCCCTTGTAGTCTGGTTTTTGCCCACCACCCCTTCTCTCCATGGACACCCACTAGCTGGCTCCTGGGAGATGTCCTCATCCCACTTCCTATCTGCAGCCTATCTCCATTTAATGCATTGATTACC